GTGCAGGAGGTGCAGGAGGTGCAGTTTGCCACGTCTTCTTACTGTGATGTTTTGTGCCGGACGTTTAGCTTCACTGAGGTATTTTAGTGACTGTAATCGTAATAAATTTATACAAGGATGCTTCTCTAACGGCTCTAATTGTGTTTATCATAGTTATACTGTTTCCTGTATCTGGGACACATATTCTAAAATCTAATATCACTAATTATGAGCCGTTTGTGTATTAAGTACCCGCTTTAAGGCCTCTAAAGTAATAAATCTTCCTACGCCACATCTGTTTGGAAGGGTAAAGGTAGACAATGTGGTAAAAAACATCACTTTACTACAGCAGTTGGAGTTAAAAAGAAAGACGTGGCTTGCAAAGTGCTTCACAAAATGAAAGTAATTTATAGAAACCAGATTTTATTGTCATAGTGTAACATCTGTAGTTTGCATGTGGGCTTAAAAGGAAAATCTAAAGTTACAAATGCATCTGCCTATTAGAAAGTTATGGTATGCAGTGGAAGACACAGCAGCAGCAATTTACATCATGTTGATCATTAATTTTCCTGTTTAGTTGGACGGTGCATGCTATTACTGTCTTTCCGTTAATAAAAGACACTTCACCGTCCCTTCTGCCATAGGAGTTATTAGTAATGTGAGAATTCAGCCAGCTGCTATAATGGCTCGATCATTTCACTCAGACAGGAAACCGTCCGAAGCAAAACTCAACCACAACTGTAGTGTCAAACTGTAGTGCCTAGAACATCATGCCAATGAAACTGATGGTGCAGAGGAATAGCCTAAAAACAGGCCTGCAGAGCAAATACCATGCACATCCTGGAAGCAGAGGATTTATGAGCAATCACTCTCCTCAAGCCAACTTGGTGTCACTGGAGTGGCAAAAAGAGATCCAACTAAATCAGAGAAGGCTTTGGATTAAGAGTAGACTCATGGGGGCAGTCAATAACAAAACAACAACAACAACATCTCAATGTGAAGAACACTGAAGACCCAATAAATGTAAAAAAAAGTTTGAAACAGATGTTTCCCACACCTTTTCAAATATTTCTGTCCAAACTTTTGGTCCAGTTATTCCAAAACCTGGCCAAATGTGTTATTCAGGATAATTGAGTTTATCCCAACAACACTTTCCAGGTGATTTACTGGTCGGCCAACATTCACACCCTCACCAGCAGCCACAAGCTGTGGGTAGAGACCGAAAGAGTGTAGAGCTGTTCCTCCACATCAGGAGGATATATGACATTCAGGCATTTGACCCAGATGCCTCCAAGGTGAGCTGTTTCAGGTATGTGAGGAGACCTCGGGGGAGGAGCTCAAAACCAGCTCCTAGCATCACTTCGCACTGCCGCACACAGAAACAGCAGTACTATCAGGTAATCAAACTTAATTCTAATGACAAGAGAAAGAGAACGGCATGTCTCCAGCTCGTTTAATCAGCTTTGCTCCTTTCTTTACTGAGTCGGGTCCTAATTGAGGTTCCCATATGTGAAAGCACTTGAATTACTAACGCTCAGCAACAGTGACTTAAGTGTACCTTAGAAAGTTTCATATACACATCACATTTCCTTACTCGTGAAGCAATGAGAGAGAAGTAAAGTAATTTAACTACAAAGAATGAGTTCATTCAAATGCAATTGAAAAACAAAAACAGCGGACCTGCACAAGTGGAACAGACAACTGCTTAAAGATTAAAGTTAGATTACAGTTTTCACACAGCTGAATAAACGACACACAGAAAACTGATTGAACAGAAGTGTGAGATGGTCGAGAATTTACTCCAATGTGCTGTTATATCTTAGATAGCAAGGACCAGACGGCTGAGTTTATTATTAAACTTCACTGAGACAATCTGCAAATATCATTAACAGTTTAATAAACTATCATCTTGTCTTTATTTTTCGTTAGCACAGACCTTAAACACTTCAAGCTGTAAGCTAATGATAGTTATATAAGAGCAGACGCTGGTGCAATAAGATGCATGTTTTACGTCCAATGGACACATGATCTGATTAGTCGACTATCAAAATAATCGTTTGTGTCTATGGATGAAATGTCCAATTTGGACCGAGCTCCACATTTTGTGGCATTTTCATGCAAATCTGTCCATGAATTACTATGTAATCCTCCAAACAAACAAACTAAGCCAACTGCAAAACATGTTAGGGTGCAGATTTTTAATGTATGTGCCAATGTTTCTTAATGTACTGTTAAAAATAAACTTTGCAGATGCAAGGAATTAAAAAACTTTCAATGCCTTTATCAGGCTCATTTGTGCATTTTTATTTGTGTTTACGTACATGCTTAAAAGTGGGAAAACATAAGTAAACATATTTCTGTGTGATGGATGTTCCTGCTGCATCACTGATTAAGGTTTCCAATAAAAAATACATGTAAAAGGCCTCGAAATCCTGCCAGGCAAGCAGATGGACAGCAGGTGAATAAGAGGAGGAGGGCGGTTGTGAAAGAGAGGCAGAGAAACGGATTAAAGAGCCAGGAACCCAATCTTGTGCCGCCCAGCAGGAGATCGCTGACCCTTATCCGATAACCTCCACCACCTCCGTCCCCGAGTGCAGGCCCATTAAAGACAACAAAGACTGCACACTGGGTGCTTTATTGGGGCTCTGGTCTCATCTTTACATCAGGAGAACTGCTGTTTTATCTTTGTGCTTGAGCAGCAGCTGTTTGCAAAACCGCAGAAAGAAAAACAGATGGAGAGCGGAGACAACAACACCACCACTGAGGAGGAGGAGGAGGAGGAGGAAGTTCAGTGTGTAACTGCACATTTAATGAAATTTGAATCAGCAGCAGAAGAAGAAGAACAAAACAACAATGTGAGAGAAAATTAGAATGAGTAAAGCAGGGTGTTAAGCTCACTTTACATTAACGGCCACACAGAGTTTGGTCTTAGGTGATGATTTGTCAGGCAAATTATTTTCACAATTAAACAACTGCTACAAATGTGAAATCTTGTAAACCTCCCTGTTGGAGGGCCAAAGTTTCATACGTAGTAAAAATCCTTAAAAAGATAAAAACTAAAAATAAAAAGGTAAACACTGAGTGCTACTGCCCCTCAGCAAGCTTCTGGAAGTTAGCCAATCAAGAAACAGCAGACTTAAAGGAAGGGGCTCTTTAAAGAGAGACTTTGTTTCAGGCAGAGGATAAACTAACCAGTCCTGTAAAGGGCCAGTGCAAGATCGAGCAGGAGTTTTTAAAACTTTTTAGCATGCAAATCTGCTCAAGTGCTGTCCTAGAATAATGAGTCAGTAATGCCTTCTGTCTGTCTTGTCAGCTGGGCACAAAACATATTTTTCACTTTTAAACAACAACTCCTATAATAGTGACAGTTTCAAGTGTCTTCTTTTGACCAAAAGACCCTAAATATTAAGTAAACAATGACATGAGACCAAGAAAATGTTTCTAAACAGCTCAAAGAAAACCTGAACTGATTGATTAATCGGCTTGTTGCTCCATTTTTGTGCATACCCAGATACAAGCAGGGTCCAGGAGCAGTGATGATGAGTATGCTGCAGCCTGTGATGAAAACACTGAACTGTTGGCAGCAGGGCTGGTGTTATGTAACCCTGTGAGCCCACAGCAAACAGCTGATCTTAACCCCTCTTACCTGACAGGGAAGCCAGGCAGTGAGAAGTCTGTAGTTTTTACTGTTTTTATGTTTAGAAATGTCCGCATTACTGCAGGACTGTGCATGCGCTGTTTAAAAAAACAAGAGCATAATAGACACGTAAGCTGACACTCATACCGTACAGAACTTTAGTGAAAATGCACCTTTATGTCAACTCGATGTGAGGACTCGGTTAGCAGTTAGCCGATGTTAGCTGGAAGCAGGGGTTCACGTACCTGGCAGCCTTTTTTGTGGTGAAATCCAACCACCACGATGTGCAGCACCGGCCCCTTCCCTTCGTCTCTGCCCTGAGGCTCCATCCCCGCTCCTGTACCCGCAGTCTAGCGTTGTTTTAGCTCCGGAATTGGATGTAAACACAGCTAACCGAGGCCGACTTTTCTGTCTATATCTCCCTGAATATGTGACAGACAGACAGCAGCACAGCAGAGATGATTTTCTCTTCCGCTTAGTCCCCACTGGCCAAATGGGCAAGAGCATTCCCCGCAGCGCACTTCCGTTTTCGCTTAGCGAAATTTAAGTTTACAGTTAATTGCTCCCCAAGGGCAGTCTTCAGTTAAGTAGAGTCAATGGAGCACATTTACTTAGACAAAACGTTCTTAAGTGTGCAGACAAACGCCAACGTTTTTTTTTAAGTTTTCAAAATTTCTTCATTGATATTAAATTCAACTTAAAATAAAATGTCAGTTGAATTTAATTTACCTTAATAAATTCAGGTTTAATGAGATAAATGTCAATCTAGACTTTAAAGCTAGCTTAACCAAAAATACATTAATTTTACTAAAATCGAGACTTGTAAAGTATAATTATTTAGCTAAGTTGTGCTTACTAGCTTTTAACTGATTAACTGTTTTGTTGCCTATCTTATTAAATTACTTTTTAGCTAAGGTTTCCAATTGTATAATGTTATTAATATAACATAATAAAAACATTAAAATGACAGATTAAAGTTTTAATTCGCTGTTGACCAATATAACATAATATAATTAGATAACAGTTAACAATTATATTGAGTGTATTTTTTTTTCTTAAGCAGGACAGAATGAGTTTAAAGGCTTTAAATGCAATCAGGCTGAAGTTCTTGTGGAAAAAGTAATGAGTTGACTAACATTTCCTTCATATTTTCCTTCATTTCAATCTGGAATTTCATTGATATTATCAGACAGCTCTCCCTAGAATAAAGTCCGGATAATCTGCATCTAAAAAATAGATAGTTAGCTTAGCTCTTGTGTTTCCCGCTCAATAGACAACGTGCATGTCACCTTAAATTCCACCTGTCAAGGCGAGATGAAGCATAAATATCCGCGGTCAGATTTTACAGGGGTGAATTATCTTGATCTCTGTTCTGTTCTCTTTTTTAAACACAAAAATGATGTCATGTGTTCCTCGACACAACTTGCGCCATCGTGTGGAGACATACAGAATAATTTAATATCACCCTCAGGTGTGTGTGTGTTTTGTTTGAATTTTTAAAAAGTGCATTATATTTGGTTGCAACCATGAATGTTTGAATTTCTTAAAAAGGAGACTCTTTTGTTTCCCCAGAGACGAAATTCTTCTGGATTGATTGATCTTGTCTGGCTGGCCCATTACTGTTCGTCTGTCGATTACTTCTGGCTTTGTGGAGGGAAGTCTCTTGATTGAACATGTCGGCTACAAACCCGTCGCAGCTGCTCCCGCTCGGTTTGTAAAATCTCTATGATGCTGTGTTTTGTTCCTGACGTCTGTGGGTTTAAATGGGGCTGTTCCGAGTCAGCGTGCGACGGCCGCAGTTTGAGCCGCGGCTCACTGAAAATCATTTTGTAGGCAGATGTTTGCTAGTTAGCATTAGCATCACGCCGGTAGGGAGCTAACGCTGCGGCTTTACTCTCTACAAGCACAAACAAAATGCTTCTTATTTGGTTTAGTTTATTAAAGTGGCAGAGAGGGCAGGTTTCTAGCTGAAAATTTACAGATTACTGGATTATCGTCTATTGCCCTATTGGCATGTTCAAAATAAATTTAAAAATTACATTGTCGTCTTTTTTATTCTATTTAGTTATTAAAAATTTATAGTATTTCAAAGGGTTAACTGTTGAGTCCTTAACAAAGAGAGACACCAGTTAATAAAGTAGGTAGGTAAGTGAAGTGTAAAAAGTAGAAACACTCACCTGAATTACAGGATGTGTAATTTCTCTGTATGTTTCCTTTTGCAGAGCTTGTGGACAAATGTATCGGCTCCCGAATTCACATCGTCATGAAAACTGACAAAGAAATTGTCGGCACCTTGCTGGGCTTCGATGACTTCGTCAGTATCTTTTAATTAAAACGTGTCCAGATGAGCGAGTTAGTGCACACCTCAACACCAACAATGTACAAAGTCTTACTATATTGTGCTGCACACACCATCGACTGTTTGAAGTCATCCATGCTCACAGGTGGAGCCCATGCGATGAGAAGCAGAACTATTGTTACTTTTTGTTTCTGTTTTATTTATAAATGTGAGAGAGGACAGTTGCAGAATACCATTGGCACAAAAAGTGTGTAGATCTGTACAAACATGGGACAAATAGACTGATCAAAAAATTTAAGGAAACAGTCAGTGATCACACTACAACACAGTTCAACTTCAGGCATGTCAATCTATCCAAATAGGAGTAATAAACCATGGTAAATCTATTTCAGCCAAATTGGTGCAAATTAAAGTAACAACAGGTGTAGCAGATGGTGGCCACAGACCATTTCCCTCTGCTGTCAGATCTTATTCTGGTGCAGTGGGGCCTGGGTTCCTCCTGCTGTAGGGCTTCTTTCATTTTTACTCTTAAAAGTCTGATGGGGTATTATCACCTGAGTGGGCACCTCGGAAACCCAAGTTTGTGAATCCGATAACTTAAGAGGGAAGTCAGCTAGGATTTTCAAATTGATAACATAGGTGCATCTTCTAAAAGCTTGAATCTCGGTGACCTTGTCCTCAAGGTCAGAGCAAGTTTTGTGAGATTCTTGTGAATGTGATAACTTGAGAATGAGGGGACATAGGATTTTGAATTGATACCACAGTTGTGTCTACTAGGATGAGGAGTACCGCTGGTGGCCATCAGTTAATTCATTAATTAGTTAATTAATTATTAGGGATTAATAGGAAGTAGAAAGGCTTCTGTGGATGGGCGCTGGTGCCGCTCACGTCCACGTCTCCACATCCTCCTGCTCGTTTGTGTAAAGCTTTTAGCTGCACTTTGATGTCTCTTTGCTGTTTATTGTTGCACAGTTTGTCTTTAACTGTGTGTGTCAGACATGGTCCTGGAGGATGTGACAGAATTGTAAGTACTCCTGTTGCATTTTTACTCTAACTACACCTTTTCTCGGGTTCACCGCTGATTATATTAAACAAATGTGTTGCAGTGAAATAACACCAGAGGGGAGGAGGATAACCAAGCTCGACCAGATCCTCCTCAATGGCAATAACATCACCATGGTAAACAAACAAACGCCTGATTGTGTCCCATAATCTCCCCCGGTGTTTTAAACCTTCACAGGATGATTTATGGCTGCATATTTTCTCTTCTGCAGCTCATCCCCGGTGGAGAAGGACCAGAAGTATAAATGCCCGGAGGCCGGTTAACCTTCCTGTGTTGCTGTTCCTGACTTTATTATGTAATTATTATTGTTGATGTCTTGTTTTTTCTTTGGGTTTTTCCTCCTGATCCTGAATGAGAAAGATATTTTTGTAATAAGATTCCTCACTGATGAGAGGTGCACATGCCGAAAAGTTTTTCTTTGTTAAAAATAAATCTGAGGATGTCACACAGTCTGAAAAACACTTTTCTTTATTCATTCTTTACCACACAACTTAAAATTTAGTGCAAATCTTGGTATAAAACCAAAGTGTTACCATGAAACAGCAGAACTAAAAATACCATCCAGTTGTTTATGTGTTTATTTTAAATGTTTATCAAACAAAGAGCCGGATACTTGATTGATATTGAGTTTAGCAGGTGATCAATGCAGCTGAAGGTTGTTTAAATTCATCCCAGTGGCTTTTCCCGTTCCCCGGGAGCCTCAGTACATCGAGGGCTTCTCCTCTCCTTTTGGGTTGGTCACCTTCTCCAGGTTTTTGCTGATGATGTCATAAAGCTCGGCCTGAGGGAAACGAGCAGAGATGCAGATTAATAATTGACTTACAGCAGCTAAAAATACATTGTTAGTGATTAAACTGTTTGAAAATCAGTTTTTTAATCTTAGAAAAACTCAAATATTTTATTTAAGATCCATTTTTTTTTTCATGGTTTTAAGTATTTGGGGGGGAAATATAAATGTAGGCTTCTTACGTAGAAGCCGCGGATGTCGAGGACGATCACTCTGATATCCGAGTAGATGGCCTCGTCCTTCTCGTGTACGAGTGAGCGGTAGTCCATCTGAGGGCAGAAGAAAAAGAGTTAAAGGCAATTTTCATATTTCCTTTTTGTGTCATAAACCTCGAGGCTCGTTGGGATGTTCAGTGACGAAAAAGACTAAAACCAGCTAGTGTTCATCCATCTCTGAGATCTTTGTGTCTTCTCTCAGGCTTTAAGCTCATATTCAGCGTATTTACCTTTGCAGCTCTCATCCACACATGTATTCAGTCTTCCTTCTACTGACTTTAATCCATTTTGAATAGAGTTATCTGACTAATGTGACTTGCTGTGTGTAACAGACAAGAAGTCTGTGATCGGGTTTTGGTGCGTGAAATTCTGGCATCTAATTAGTTTGTTATGTCACAGTAATTAGCAGGCATGTCTGGACAAAAGGGTGGCCAAAAACTAACAGTGGTGGCCAAAATGCTAAAAGTGAGACTTCAAAGTGCTGCTATCATCCACCTTTTATGTTCAAATCTGATACTGGCATTAAATCCAGCTGTTCTTTCCACTTGAAAGAAAATTTCCCAAAACTCATCCAGCATCACTTCCTCTGCTCCGTGTGGTGGTCAGGATGTACAATGTTAGAAAACTATGGGAACCACTGCTCCAACTATTATATGAGAAAGATTTTTAAGGGCGTTTTTTTACACCTATAGTTTGTTATAACTTTGGTCCGAATCATTTGATGAGTTTGCAAACTTGTAGCTTTTTTCCTGTGATTTGGCTTCTTTTCACCCAGAAAAGAATCCAAGTGAACTCCAAACAAACCAAAGTGCATGATTACAAAAACGTGAGCACATTCAGTCCCCGTATTGGCCAGATGTGCCTGGGGTGGGAGCGACAAAAGTACAAACTGGAACGAGGTGCTGTGTTCTGGAGGATTACGTTCATTTCATAGCTAGTTGCTAACCTGTACAGACCTTTGTCTACCTTGTCCACATCCCAGAATGCAAACCACATGTAGGTACAGGGAGATGTTTAGCTTATCTAGCAACGTACACCTGGCAGTTTAGATTAAGGTCAGAGTGCATTCACAACATAAATGAACCATACGGGAGGAACACTACCTCCTCCAAAGGGTCTTTATTACTGTGCTCACATGTGCACAAAAGAAACGTAACGGGGTGCAAATTAAACCAGAGTTCAATTTGAATGAACTAAACACAGCAGGTGTGAAAGCACCCTAAGTGTGTTTGAACTCTGTGGCGCGATGTTTGCAGTCTGCGTTCGAATATAGAAAGGCAGAGATCATCACTCACCACATGAGTTTCCTTAGAAGCTTTGGCCACAGCATCCCCCCTCTCTGTGAAGTACCTGAGGATTTAAACAGTAGTGATGAAAGGCTCCACTCTCAGTAAAATGACACAAAGGCAGCTGCCGCGCTTTAAAGAAGGATTTACGTCCAACCTACTTGTTGATGTTGGTCTGAAAACCGTCGACTTTGGTTCTCACTGCAGCGATTCTCTCCAAGATTTTCTCCTGTGGTTTAAAAAAAAACCCAAAAAACCTTAAAGGTCAACATATTTCTTTATCACATTAATCCAAAAGTTAAAATCAGTGGCTTTATATTCAATTAAAATGAAAGAGCAGCCAATTAAACAGACGACGTATACCTGGATGGCAACTCCGAAGTCATTTCCATCCTCTATCTTTGGGATGAGGTGCTGAATCCAGCAGGTGACCTGCAGTTTGAACCCAGAGCATTAATCCTCATTTTAAAATCATTCTCATATTGTTCCTGTCTTAGAGCATCAATCAGCCCTCAGAGCGGCAGTGATTCACTCACAGTGATGATGGTCTCTCTAAAAGCGACTATCTCTGGTTTCACTCTCTCTAGCACCATCGTGATCTTCTCGTTCCCCTTGATGAAGCCACACTTCGGGGCTGAAGAGCAGAGAGAACAGATGAAGCTCTTGTTCCCCGTCCCCACAGACATCACATGCTACCTTTCAGTTTTCACATGTGTGACTACAAAAATGCCTTACGCTTCTTCTTCTTCTTCTCGTCGTCTTCATTCTTGTCGGTCTCCATCTCCTGAGAGAGACGTTTTTTTACAGAGTGAGAAAAGATCGGGCGTCTTAAATCAATTAAAAATGTGAAAAATCCAAGTGAGGAAGCTGAATATTTGCACTCACATTAATCCAGTTAAAATTCATTCAGAGCCAATAAAGACACATTCAAAGGTCAAAGCTGTCACAGTGAGATGTGAGTGTGTCGGTCGACTGTGTCAATTAATGCACTAGTGAAGAGCATGTCAGAAAAGTAACTTTCAGTATATTAAAAAATATAACAGATTTCTGGAAGGGCAAAGCTTCTGGTCTCTAATGTCAATAGTTTTCTCAGAAAATTTGAGCTTAATTTTTGTGAAACTGTTCCCTTGATTTCAACAGTTTTCAGGAATATTATGTGCCTTGTATATGACAAGCTGCAAACCAAATATCAGTCCTCTACCTGCAAAGCGGGGTCTTTACAGGCCTCCAAATCTGCTGTCAGAGATCTAAGCTTCTGTCACTATGTTATCCCGAGCTTCACCCTGAGAGTCTCAGGGTGTTTTATTTTAATTCAATAAACAGATGAAATGAACCAAAAGTTACCGACCTTCACTTATCCCAACTTCTGACCATAACTGACCTTTTCTTTTTCCTTCTGTATGATATTATAAAGATAAGTTGTTATAATAATGTAATTAGTAGCGTCGTCCTGAATCTTATCTGGATGTCCGGCTCATTATAATTCACGAGCCTCAATTAAAGTTGTCCAAACCAACCCAGATTTATTTTAACATGCGTTGGTACAGCCCAAGTTAAATAATATGTCTTATTACATGTGCATTTCAAATCACAGTGATTGTGTAAAGCTCCAGAAATATTAACTTCCATGCCTGTGTAGTAAAGTGAGGATATTAGAAACTCCATGGCACTTTTCATAGCTGGGCTGATAGCAGTCTACTAATCAAAAGGTCGGTGGTTCGATCCCCGCCTCCTCAAGTCTACGTGTTGAAGCGTCCTTGCGTGAGAGGCACGGAACAAGTTCTTGTGTCAGTGTATGGGTCAATTAATGTTGCGAATGACCCAGTTTTTCAAAGTAAAAGCCTTCTCACCGTTTTAGTGGACTGAAGCACATTCATATGGAATGAGTGATCTCAAACACATTCATGTTGGCCATGTTTAGTGAAAGATAAAGCTAAAAGCGTGACAGGCTGCGGCGCTCTCACCTCGTCCTCGGGGGAAGGAGGGTCTGGTATGGGGATGTCCAGAGGAGCCCTAAGGGAAGCTGTTTCTGTGATGCTGAAGCCCTCATCCTGACAAAATAATCAAATAAAAGACAAACACAAGGACAAGAGTGAAGAGCAGTTTTCCCAGGTCAAAGGTCACAGAGGCTGTCAGTTAAAATGCTTCACCTTGAGCAGAGAGTCCAGCTTTATGATCTTCAGAGGGATGAAGTCAGAGAAGAGAGTTTCTGCCTGGAAACACACACGCGCGCACACAAAGAGGGGCCTCAAGTCACAAAAGTTGGTTTATTTCAATATTTTACTAATTTAACGCAATCAATGTGTCAACTGACCTCCCGATACAGAGCCTGGCGGAAGTTGTCCACCTGTGGAGAAAAGGTGAGCAGACTAAATAAACCAAATAAAACACGGTTCAAGTGCTGACTCACGTTTGTGAAAGGCTTTACTTTCGTTTTCCTGCCCGCTGCGGGGGACTTTCCGCTGCTTTTCAACTATAACCGACTGCTTTCAAACACACCGGGGCTCAACACTCACACCAAGTCCGCTTTAAAGTCACTGCAGGCCGCCGGGAAGCCGTTTAGCTCCTTTACCTTGCAACCTGCCCTCCTCAGAGAGCGCTTACTCCCAAAAAGCAAAAGCTCACCGACTTACCTTCCCCGCAGTCGTGCTGCTTATTTTCAGAGTCGCTGCCTTTGACATGACTAAAGAAACTTTTTTCAGGAATATATTATCATAAAAATATCCGCTGGAGCGGTTTAAATGAAGTCCGACGGCTGCAGCACAGGACAATATGTCTGTCTTGTGGATTTTTTTATTTCCTCATTCACTTTGCTTTCGATTTGATATCGGATGCGCCTCCTACTGACTCCCTCCTCCTCTCCTGGCACAGCCTCAGCCTTCAAACTTGAATATCCTGTACATGGCAACCCAGTACACGGTACAGACACCGAGAGGCGTTTACAGGATTATTCAAGATGAAGGCGGTTGTCTGCAGAGCAGAATAGTGATTTTAGAATAAATACATTTTTAAATCAATTTCCAAAGAGTTTAAGAATTTTAATATATACTGTCAATTTAAAAATGGCCTCTTTTAATCTTCTGTGCAGTGTAAGCCTGTAGAATAAACAATAAATTGGATCAGGTTCACTGATACAGCCTCACGTCAGTTACAGTATAAAGCTGATTTCTT